GGTGCTGTGTGCATGTGGCCATGGGGTGCACACGTGTAGCAACTGTGCTGCCAGCTGTGCAAGGAAATAGGAAGGGGCCACCGTTGCCTCCACGATGAATGTGACGATACATAAATACGCCGGCCCTTATGAATTGTGGCGGCGTCAATTTTTCCCCCGATGGAACCATCCATCCGCCTGCACGGAGCGGCGATGCTGACCGGACGGGCATCCGTCAGTTGCCGCCACCCCGTGAAGGGAGGGATGACACAAAATCTGGTGGGACAACTGCGCCGCAAGTTAATGCTGAGCCGTCACATCAGAATGCGGATTGGCGACAGTCTGCGGCGGCTGACGGACCCAACACCGTCGATCCGAGTCCCGCATCCAACACGGAGAGCAACACGTCCGAGACGAAGCCTGAGCTTGCTTACGTTTAGAATATCAATGTAGCTCCGACACCATCCGAAAGAAGGCCCACGCCTGTCACCGAGCCGAAGGGGAATCCCATTGATGATGCGATGAGTGGTTTGATAAATGTTGAGTTGCCGCAGGGAGTCGATCTATTTGTGGCGCAGACGACGCTGGTGCAGCCGAAGGATGGGATTGTTCCAGTTACGACGAGGGATTCAATTGTTTCACCCTCTCTCGTCAGTGCTGGTGGAGTGATTGCCGCTTTCGCCGAGGATCAAATGGATGCCGAATATCAATGTGCTCAATTAAGTAAGCCCTTTTCTTCTGATTTTGTTGCGGGGTGCATCGACTCTGCGTGGGATTGGTCCACTGTTGTTGGTGAGGTCAATAAAAGGATGCATGGAGGGCACACACTGTGGTTGGTGAAGCGGAGGGAGAGGAGAGTTTGGGTGTTGTGCTCCGCCCCACAACAATCACGAAGGGCAACGGAGTGTTTCCTCTTGCGGGAGGCTCCGATGTGTCCTACGAAGGTGGGTGCTGGAGAGAGGGCGGCTTGGAGCCGAAACTGGTTGTGGGTGATGTCGCGAATCCCACGGGTGGGAAGCAGAGTGGACGGATCGAATGGGGCGACCCCAAACCACTCTCGAGGCGGATCTCTTCTGCTTCTCACGAGGGTGAGTGGAGGGAGTTCATTGCTTCTGGTGGCGCAGGTGTTGTGATGGAGGACGGCACGTTTGTGTTTCCTCTGATGGCGGTGAATGAAGCGGAAGACGTTTGCTCCACGATCGTGCATTCGACGGGTAACGGCAGTGCCTGGACGCTCTGTGAGGACATTTTCCCTGCGGAATGCCTTAACCCCTGCGTCACCGAATGGGAGGGATCACTTCTCATGATTGTTGACTGCGGGAATGGCCAGAGGGTGTACGGGTCGCGTGACATGGGGACAACGTGGACGGAGGCCATCGGGGCACTCTAAGGTGTGTGGGTCAACGCACGATCAGGAGCCTATCAGAAGGAAGCCTGCGTGTGGATGCCCTCATCACCGCGACCATTGAGGAAAGGGAGGTCATGCTGTGCACAGAGAGAGGGCACGCCTCGGGGAAGAAAAGGGCCACTGCGCTCTACCTTTGGGTCACGGACAACAACCGCACGTTTTTTGTTGGACCGGTTGCTGTGGACACTGCTGCGAATTGGATGCTCGCCGGCAACCTGCTGTACTCGGATGGCAGTTTGCATCTTTTACAAGGGAGGGGCAACGGTGAATGCCGTGTCATCTCACTTTCCCGCCTGACGGAGGAACTGGGTGCGGTCAGGTCCGTCCTCAGTACTTGGACGCAAAAGGACATTTTCTTCTCCAGCTTTTCTATACCCACGGCGGGGCTGGTGGCAGTTTTGTCCGGTGCGTCCAGTGATGGCAGGTGGAACGACGAGTACTTTTGCTTGAATGCAACGATGACAGATGCAGTGAAGGACAACGATGGGTTACAAGTGACGGGACTTGAGTCCAGGGTACTACGGCCTGTGAACACTCGGGGTGATGAAGTGCGTCATGTATCTTTGAGCCACCACTTCACACTTTTGGCGTCGGTGACCATCGAAGAGGCTCCGAGTGGGAACACTCCTCTACTGACTGCGGTGCTGGCGAACACTGCGTCCAATCATACCGTGGGACTGTCGTACAGCTATAATAAGAAGTGGGAGACGAAGTTCGAGGGCAAGACAACAACACGGAGCAGCACTTGGGAGCCGAAGAAAGAACACCAAGTGGCACTCATGCTACAAAGCCAAAAGGTCTCTGTGGACGTTGATGGCGAGTCGCTGGGGAAAGAAGAATTACCGTTAAAAGGTGAGAGTACACTTTGTCTTGTACGCTTTTGCATTGGGGCGTGCGGTGGGCACTAATCTCATGTGACGGTGAAGAACGTTTTTCTGCACAACCGCCTACTGAACTCCACTGCGATGCGTGCACTCAAGGACAGGGTCCCCGCTCCGACGAGAGAAGCGGCTCCGACACCACCCGAGAAGGTTCGAGTGGTTGACAGCGTCAGAGAGCACATTGCTGAGGATATTACCGGAGAGAAATGAATGGGCACAACGCAATGCCACTGGACATGAATCCCCATTACAAATAGTCACCTCGCAGGGTGTGGAGCGGCGTGAGCCCCGACGGCCGCCTCGCCTCCCCCAACGGCGTGAAATTGATACTGCGTGATTTGAGCGGTAACAACACCGTGCGTGTGTGTGTCTTGTGTGTTGCTGCTTCTGGGATTGTGTTCGGGGGTGGCAGTCTTCTGAGCCGCAGAGTGTGGATTTGCGACTCCTCACGGAGAATACGTGCCGCATTTCTTGCCCTTTTTTATGCCACCGGTTTTATTTATTTTTTAACGTTTTACTGTTTGTTGATTCTTTCACTGTTTTTACTTTTCAATGTTACCTTTAATGCAGTCTATCTGTTATAATCAGTACTGTTGTTTTTTTCTTTGCGCAGTGTTCGGTTGATAAATACCGTGATGAGTGATTTGTTTCCCCTCTTGTTTGCTTTTTTTTTTTGCCCACACACGGTGCCGGCCTCATTGCTGTGCTTCCCACGGACTGCACGAAAGGAGGAGCGGAGGGACAGGCCGGATGCTGCAATGAAATGTGAGGGATGTTGTGTGGGCTGGTGGAACGGTACGATCTTTTTTTTTCATTTTTTTTTGTTGCGCAGGCAATATGTATATACAGAAACACAAGGTCGTTTCTATTGCGTTGCATGGCACATGAAATAAAAGTTCTGCCGAATTAATTTTCCCTAATTGTTTCTTTTGAGGGTCATGCCGGACTCTCACTTTTTCCTTTTCTTTGGTAACTCACTGCAGCGTGCTTCCATTGTTACCG